CAGACACACACTTTTTTTTAAAAAATGTGTTTTTTTTAGTTTTTAAAACATTCTAAACCCATTGGAAATGAAAACTGGAAAAAAATTTTTCGCATCGAAACAAAGCTTCCTCTATGAGGAAGCAAAAAAGATAATTATTAAGTTTCTTAAATGTATTTGATTACATATGTACATACAATAGTATAAGCATGATTACATTGGACATAAATATTTTTGCCAATAAAGTGGAAGCATTGTCAAGAAGAAGGAGACCTTATATTTTAAGACAATTTATTTTTCATGCCACTGAATTATGGCCTTAGTTCAATCATTGCATGTGTTTGTCCATTGCAATGTCAATAATGTAGATTACTTTAAAATATTTTTTCAGCGTCTCAACCTAAAAAATAAAAGTAAAACATTACTATACCATTCATTTAACTTTATTTTTATCCCAATATTTACCTTGAAAAGTAATCAGCTATAAGTGATTCTCTAACCATATTATCTCTCGGTCTTGCACGTTCACGAATGTCATCGTTAATTACCACATCATCTTCAACAAAGTCTATTAATACAGGTGGATCTCCCTCATTTTGATGTCTTGCCAAATTATGCAAAACAGTTGTTGCAACGATGACATCTTGCACTGTTTCCAATTTCAATCTCATTCCGAGACTTAAAACTGGGAAACGTCGCTTGATAACTCCAAAAAAGCGCTCTATAATATTTCTCGTTCGTATTTGAGTTTCATTATAACACTCTTCTGCTGGAGTATTTGGATTTATCAGTGGCGTCAGAAGATAATTCCTCACGGGATAGCCACCATCACCGAGTAACAATCCAGAATTAAATTCGTTTTGCTCAAATCTTCTTCGCAATGTACTATGCTCGAAAATTGTGGCGTCATGTACCGATCCTGGCCATCTTGCAACAATATCTATTGCCTTTAAATTATAGTCGCATACAACTTGCGTATTTATAGAAAAATAACTAAATTGTTTAAACACCGCTTTGCCGAATTGATTACAATTATGAGAATTAATAAGTGGACCATTAGAATGTGGTTTGAAAAATTGAGGCTCGTTATATTTTACTCTGAAATTCGAATTTATACAATAGTTTCTTTCAGTTATACGACAAACAATTTGCTCTAATTCCTTATTATTTTTACGAATCATTTTTAATATAGATTGTAAGTAATTTTCAAACGGAAAAGCACTGAATTCTTGAAGAGTTCCAAATTTTTTCGCGTCATCACAAATATGTAATAAATGGTGCAGGTTGTGCGATGCATTTTCTTTACCATATAAATTAATAAATGTTTCTACAAAATATTGCAATAAGGAGTTGGAATAATCGGAATATTGTTCCATATGTTTTGAATTTGATAAGATAGTGACAGCTACATGTAAAGTTAAAAAATTTAAATATTGATCATAATTTAGAATAGGTTTTAAAGCTATACATCCCGTATATATAATAAAAAAGTTCTAAATTCGGTTGCCTTCCATCTTTTGCTTTCAAACAAAGATCTTGATTTTCTATTAAATTCGGAAGGTAGG